GTGGTCTTTGTCTGATGGTTATTCCTCCTAATCGAGGAGGAAACTTAAATTGGACGAGGAGTGGAAGTACCTCAACTGGCAAGGAAGAGGAGGCAGCCAAAAAAATGCTGCTAGTGCATGTGTAAAAAGTTTACTGAATTCTGGGCATTATATTAAACGTACTTTCACCAGCTTGAATGTTTTTGAACGTATGATATGTTCAAGGTCCCTTCTCTACAACGGGGATTTGATAAGATGCGACTAGGAGTTGGTGAATAGAACTTGCAGAGTTGCAGGCCAAATTTATAGTGAACTCTCAGTTTCTGAGTGTAATTCAAACTTGAAAATTAAAGCTAAATCTTTTATTGACTGCGGTTGTATGCAGGTGTAATGGACTGTAAATTCCATCCAAGGCAGCCATGGTTATTCTCTGCTGGTGCTGACTCGGTGGTTAGACTTTTTGCCATTAAGAGGAAAAGAAAGGAAACCACCTGTACTGGATCATACTGCAAGCTATGGATCTCACTAGTCATGTCAGAATTTTCCGTGCTCTAAATGTCTAGTTAAATTGTTGTATGTATCATGTGTTTACTGAAATGGTCCAATCAATTTTGACAGTATACAACCAATTATTTTCTGTTATGAGGATCCAATGGAGGAGGCAGCACATACAGACCACCTTCTGGTTTCAATATTGCTTTTTAAAGAATCCAATCATGGAGAGAGAGGGAGAGTTTGTAGGAAAGAAAATGGTGAAAGGGAAGAGTTTTCCTTTTGTGTAAGAACCGAGAAGAGTTTTTTCTGTGAATTGCAGAGAGGAAAGTTATTGAGGAAGAAGAACACATCACATCTAAGGGGATAGACCAATATAGAATAATGTGCAGTAAATAGTTTTTGTACCTTTAGCAGTATGAAGAAGATGGAAGATACATATTGTTGTGAGAAGAAATAGAATGAAAGATAGAAAGTATTTTAGATGAAATTTATATATGCAAGACCAAGAGTTTAGAGATGTGGGGTATATTCCGTCTGAAGAGCTGTTCATATTAAAATTAAAGAGAGCTAATTAAAAGTCTAAACGACTAATAAAAACCAGCATAAATAATTAATACATTGCTTTGAAAAATAAAATTACAGCATCTGCAAAGCTTCATGTACTTCAAAGTTGCACCAGCTGCCTGCTGACTTCTGCTACATTAATATAAATATGAAAGAAACGAAGCAAATACTGAAAAAACCAAAAGCTTTGATACTTACTAACAGATACATTCACCCAAAAGGGTATATATATTAACTAAACCCCACATAATGATGCAGAGAAACGAAGCAATTAATACATTGCTGGAGAAATTAACAGCTAGCTAGCTAGGCCCTTTAAGAGCAGAAAAACTTGTGTGAAACAGGAATAATATTATTTTGCTATTCTCGGTCAATCACGATATACAAAGTGAAAAAGTTATCACACGTGACATACCGTGATTGGTTGGGGATAGCAAAACAGTGTTATCCCCATTCCACACAAGTGTTTCTCCTTTGAGAGAGGCTGCTGCAGACCTAGCTCAACTTCTCCCATTACAGAAAATCATTACTCTTCTGCTGGAGAGCCACCTCCCACCACCAACCCCAAAACCAACCCACATGGTTGGGGTGGCACCACTAGTAGTACTAGGGCACTTGAGTGTACCAAAAACTCAACTATATATTTCATCTTAGGGACTATCAAATATTGTTGCTGTGGTTGTGAAAGAGCATGAGAGAAGAGGGTCTCATTTTATATGCAGAGATGGGAATGCAAAAAGTGATTGAGAACTGTTGATTGTTCAGCAACGTGGGTTCCTTGAGGATCTTCCAAAGCATATGCGGCGACCAACTCAAATGCTATCATCACTTTCAGTCCTTTTCCTTCTCATTTCCTTTTCATCTTTTGCTCTATTCAGTGGCGGAGCTAGGAATTTATGTGTTGGGGGGCCAACATATAAACCAAATAAGACATTAAAAAATTTCAAATTTTCAACCTTAACAATGTTTGTAAAAATAAAAAACCGAAAACAATTGTTTATTCAATTAGGTATCAAAATAACACTCGTCGTTATTTCATATCTCGAAAACCATTAGGAACAAAAATGTACTAAATGCTAAAACCATTTGTAATTGAGTCAATGCTAAACGCTAAACTTTGCTTCATATAGGAACAAAAATGTAAATCCCAATCCTTTTTTATTTGGGTAAATGTCTACTTCTTATTTGATAAAGGAGATTTTTTGAAACTTTATTTGATTGGCTACTTTTATTTTTTATTAATATATTGGTGGCCCCAAAATTACTTAGTCTTTCTATTTGAAATCACTTACTCTTTTACTTGTAAAGAGAGAAAAACGTACCTTTTCTTTTGTGAGGGGGCCACAAACAGTTTATTATTATATAGACTTCCTAAATGTGTAGGAAAGCAAGAGCAAAAATTAAATGGAGTAAAAAATTTGGGGGGGCCCAGGCCCCTTTAGGCCTTAACAAGGCTCTGCCACTGGCTCTATTGCCACCTATTTTTTAATACATAGTAAAATACTAGACACTAAGGGCATGTTTGATATTCAACTTGAATTCAACTTTTTAAACTCAAAAACAGAATTTGAGTCCAAAACAAAGAAACCCTGTTTGGTTGTCATATTTTTAAAAACTCAAACTCAAGAACAATTAAAAAACACCCCAATTATTAAAAACAAAAAATATATTTTTTTTCAGTTTTTTTTCTAACAACCCACAAGTTCTCAAATTTTTAAGATTTGAAAACAGTTTTCAAGTTGCATACCAAACAAGTTTTTGAATCTTAAAAATAGATTTAAGAACTCCTTATTTTCAAGAAAAATCAAAGTTTTTGAGTTCCCTATTTAAATAGGATATCAAACGCCCCCTAACCCATTTTCAGACACCAGCTAATATAATAATGTTTTATTTACCGTAAATAAATAAAGTTCATAATAGACTCATAAAGAAAATAATTGAAACATCGACAAATCAGTTGGTGGTATCCAAAAATTAGTGTAATAAATTCACGTCGCTCTAAAATATGTATATATATATAATTATATGATCTCTCTGAAAAAAAGAATTTTATCATTGCACCCAATAGTTGAGTAACAAGCATCTGGTTATTGGTGTCGGTCCATTGCAATTTGTCTCCATTTTAAGTCAATGAGGATATAAATAAAATAGGTAAAAAGTGTTCGAGTAAAGGTTTCTGCCCCCACGTGCCCATTGTGATTGCTAAATTCATGTGTATGTGGGATCTTGAGATGTCATTGAAGAAAAAATTTAAATAAAGTTTTCAAATTCATGTGAAAGTCACACAATTTTTGGTTAGGTCAGTCTGATCACGAGGTCTTTTCTTCTGAGTAAATTTAAGTTTTAGCCACAAAAGAACTTCACTTTTGGAAAAAGCCAAAACTTTTTCAAAAAAAACAAAAAAATCTCTGAACTTTCAAATCAAAGACATGCAATTATAAAGGATTCCTTAGAAAATCCAAAAATAAATAAGGGCAATTTTGTCTATTTTAGCTTCTTTTAAAAAGTTTATCTCTCCTTTGGGTTTTTTCAATGTCTCCTTAGAAGGGAAAGTTGCTTTATAGAAATCTTAGTGCGCCTCAAGTTTGTTTAATCAAAGTTCAAATGTTAAAATAACATTATGTGTAAAGTGTGTCTTGTTGGGTTGTAATTCTTCAAGCCCATAAATGAAAGCCCAGAAGCCCAAGAAGAGGGCCATAAGGCAATTGCTGCAAAGGATTAGATTGTCAGAGTTAGGGTTCTTGCCTCCCTGAGCATAAGGTGGCTCCACCCTTGAACAATGCCTAGCTCAAGTGCAAACTATGAAGCCAAGCTAGTGGGACATGGACAAAGTAATAGATTATCAATTTGTTGTGCGAAGTAGTTATTATGCCGATTAGTTGAAATTGACTCGAAAAAAGGTTTAGAACATTTACCAACTAACTTCTAATCTAATGGTATCTGTTCACAATGTTGGAAGAGATAAAAGTTCGAATCCCCCACCTATGTCGAAATAAAAAAAGTTACATACTTGGAAGGCAAGAGCTTCAAAACAAGATAAACTCTCAAAAGATTTCACATGGTTTGTTATGTTTTCTATATTGATATATTGTATTGAAGTCCAAAATTATGTCGTTTCAGGCCTCTATGATATTTTCATCAAAAACCCATAGATATTAGCACAAAACCATTAACAAATGTATGACCCCCACAGAAATAGAACCATAAACAGATCATCCTAATTCCTTTCAATCCATAGAATTTAATCTGCTTGCAACACAGTTTGGCTTTGGAATGAGAAAAATCTCCTTTCCTTCTTTCTTTATCAATCAATTCTTTCAATTCAACTATGTGACTGGTGCCTTTCAAAAACTTACATCCAATGAGCAGCTGCAGCCAATGAAGCAGTCCTCTGTTTGATAACTCTATCCTATATTAATTTTCTTCTTCTTTTCCTTTTTTGGGGGGCTCTGATGGGATGGGAATAACAGAACAAAGTGAGCAACTTACAAGAGTGGTTTTAGTATACCTTGGAGGCAAAGCAAGAACCACGAATAAAATATTATACAATTATTACACTAACAATAATAATAACAATAAACATGGTTTTGATAGGAACATGATGGATATCTAATCACATACAAATACTAGTGACTTTGAAGCAAATGATATTAAAATGGTACTTTTGGCACCATGCAAGTATATTCCTTTCTTTACTTCTTCTTGTGAGGTCCACTCCACAGTCTTTAGCATATTTTTCTTGGTAGAAAAGTAGTTCAGATGACAGCACAGCCAATGTCTTCAGAATCAGAATACTATGATTTTGCTCTCAACTGTCACAATCACATACATAAAATACTTCTCAAATCTTAATCTTAAGACATCCAGAGCTGAAGAAAAGAACAAACTGGACTGGCAGCCTCAGCCCTTTATCCAGATGTCTTGAGTTTCATGCAAGAAACAAAAAGAGAAAAAGTGTCATGGTGACAGAGAAAAAGAACCTCAAGATTTTTCTTATATCAGCTCATTTGAGAGGTGCACCCACCAAGCAACAAATTTCAGGAGCGGTCCAAATTTCAGTCCAAAAATTTTGTGCAAAATGCCTACCTCTACATCACTGCCCTCACAAGCACCAAAGTCAAGATCAAATCCAATTAGACTCATTGCCATAGTCTTGCTAGCTTGCATTGTCCTCTTGGGTCTTGTGGTGCTCATCACTTGGCTAATTCTCAAGCCCAAGCGCCTTGTTTACACCATTGAAGATGGCTCAATCCAAAACTTCAACCTAACCAATGACCACCTCTCTGCCGACTTTGATTTTGTCTTACGAGCCTACAATCCCAACAAGAGAGTTTCCATATACTATGACTCCATTCAAGCCACTGTGAACTACAATGACCAGACATTGGCATTTTCTGGGGTTGATCCCTTCTACCAGCGCCATCGAAACGTGACCCGATTCAACGTCAAGTTCACAGCTCATTCCACTGCACTGCCCAGCTCTGTCTCTAACGATCTACAGCTTGAGAAAAGAACAGGCAAGATCCAGTTTGATGTTTGGCTGAAGGCAAGGATTAGGTTCAAGGTTGGAGCTTGGAAATCGCGCCATCGCACATTAAGGGTTTCATGTGCCCCAGTGTTGGAGTTTTCAAGGCCTAAGAACTTGAAGAGGACTTACTGTTATGCAGAAATTTGATCAACCCTCTCACTGCAACTGCATGCATATTTCAATGACTGAATTTTTCTCTGTTGTTTGGGAGTTTTTTTTTTTTTTTTAATTTTAGTTTCCTTCATATAATCCTCAACTATATATGTGTGTGTGGTCATTGTTGTTGTGTTGAACTTTTCATTTTTCATGTAATTGTGATATTTATTCATTTATTTATTGTGTAACTAAATCCATATGGATTGATCAGGTATGCTTCAAGTTTTTATTTTATTTTATGTTGTACCTTATGGGCTTTGGTTCGAAATAGAAAATATGTGGGCTTCTTTTTTCTTTTTTGTCACCAGTTTCTTTTTTTCTTTTTTCTTTTTTGAGCAATTTCTTCACCAGTTTCTTGACACTTTGACTCCGAAATTCCAACAATTTAGAAATCATTAAAGACCCAGCAACAATTTTATTAATGGATATTGTCACGTATCAATTGTATTCAGTATCAAGTTTCAGAACGAGTTTGAACAAGTCACCATATATAAAAGGAGCTGGAATGTCTTAATTTGGATGAAGTAAAATTATTACACGGAAACAGTGGCGGTGCTTCAAATTGTATCTCTATTCAAGTTGGTGGTGGTGCACTCAAGGTATTTGACAGAATGTCTTAGCCAAACTATGTCTGTGCAGCTAGCAGCCAGCAGTGCAGCATGCTATTTTTTTATCTTTAAAGTCATGGCCAAAGCAACGTCATTTTGAGCTAGAGCAAAAAAGAAAAAGAAAGGAGGTAACCGAATTCATGGGCTTTCAAAAAGGCTTTCATTTTGTGGGCTTTAAACAATAATTCTTTCTTGAAGCAACTCTTTCCGTGGGTTTTAAACAACAATTCTTTAAACAAGGCAAGCATTTTGTGGGCTTTAAGCAATTCTTTCTTGTTCTTTTCTTTGTTTGATGTTTTCATGATATGAAACATCATCGGCAACAATTGTAGGTATGGTAATGCTATTTTTTTTAATATGTCTTATGAATGACATTGATATTGTTTAAATTATAAGCATTTTTTGTTGTCATTTTTTATATATTAAGCTTTTAGCCTTTCAAAATTGCACCTCCTTTAAAAACTTCATGAGTCCACCAGTATACAGAAATGATCTTCTCAATGTAAAGGCTCGAGATCCAAAAATATTTTTTATTTATAGATTTAAACAAATATAATTAAAGTATGGATTAAATTGAAGTTTCTTTTTTTCTTGTGTGCAAAGAACATAAGAATAAACAATTAAACTTTTATCGTCAGTGTGGAGTAAAGAATAATGGAAAAATAGTGAAAGCTTACAAATGTCTCGAATTCACTAAAATGTTGGTTGAAAAGCTTACCTCACTGAAATTTATATACCTGGCTTTCTGTATAATTAATGTTTGGTGGGAGTAAGAAGTTTGGGTGTATGAGAATTCTCTGTCAATTTTATTCATTAGGTGTGACATGTGAACGAAGGTCAACATATGAACTGGTGGAAATCAAGCTTCCACATGATTATTATTATTTTTTTTCCTTTAGGCCAAGTTATTTGGTTGGCTAGAACAACTCTAATTAGCTGATATGGTGCTGACGTGGTACATTTGAACTAATGACAGGTTGTAGAGTTAATTGGGACATCTTGTATTAGTATGTTAAGCTATAATTAGTGCCCTAGTAGTCAAGTCTCTATCGTATAAAGGGCTAACAATTACAATAGCCTCAATTGTAATTATCATTTCTTTGGCATGTTTACTAACTTGGAATCGGAGGATTGTCGATCACTCATGATTAGCAGCAATCATAATACGTATTTATGATTTGGAGTTTACTGGACCTAAAAAAGAGAGGTGATTTGGATTTGAATTTGAAAAAAGATTAGTTACGGGCTTAGGAATTTAGCACTCTTTTTACCCTCTTGTAATATTTTTTTTCACTGTTACAGTTACTTTTACGTAAAAAAGATTGCCAAATTATGTTTCAATACTAGTGATTGTGAACTTGATATTATCTTTAGATGGGACTTTGATGCAATCCTTACTTGATGCTAAGTGAGCAAATAATATGAATGAACTCACCTGAACAACCAAAGTGGGACATGTATGCATGTTATGTAATAGGACACAAGTACTATAATATAAGACACAGTCCCACAGAGAGAGAGAGAGAGAGAGAGAGAGAGAGAGAGAGGAACGACATTTCCCAACATAATAAGGTCCATCCCTTTTTCATTAGGCCAATGTTGGGGTCCAAACCCTAAACAGATATCCTGCAAATATGTGACATATATTGATGTCGCAGTTGTCCCCTCAAAGCAAAGCAAACGTGACCTTTCGTTTCCAGACCCCTCCACTATACATAGTCAACTAGGGCTCTTTCTGCTTTGTCAGTTATTGCTGAGGAAATAAAACATAAAACATTCAAAAGAGAAGGGCCAAATTAAATCGACAAGAAAACTGGTTTTGAAAGACAGGTAACCTAACACCTTGTAAACCATCTCTGTGTCTCTATGTCCTTGGCCATATGCATGCAGATATTAATTTCACAACCATCTTCTTTCTACTTCTATAGTCTTTTCTTTTTCCCACGTTTCTGGGTTATATAGATAGGTAACGAGAGATTTTAATTATATTTTTTTTAAAAAAGAATTGAGGGAATAAATAAATACAAAATAAAACACATGCATTTACCGTCACATATAATAATATATACAAAATTCGACTCTCATTCTCCTCATTATTTTGAGGGTATTAGGTTATTTTATTTTAGGGTATTTTTGCTATTAAGTGTCCTTAATTAGGGTTCCATGGTTCTTCTATTTAAATTACACTTCATTACTAGTTTCTTGTTCCCGTGATATTTCTTTTTCTAATATTGAAATACGGACGATCATAAAGAATAAAAGAAAACTTTAAAGTAAGCATAAGCATTTTATATGTGAGCAGTGAGTGAGCGGCAGAAGAACGTGAATGCTCACGCAATCTAGGACCCATGCATCATGCATGCAAGCAAAACAAGATGTAGCAAAGGCTATGGGGTTTGGCCTCAAAGCTACTCAAGTAGCCGGGGCCATATATTAGCTCTTGCAAGCAGATTACATGTGGGTTTCATAATGCCTCCCTACTTTTTTTTTTAATTAATCATATAATGTCTACTACTTCAAAGACATAATGTGATATTATGTGACATAAAGGGGTTTTTATTATTTTCCAATGATAAAATTTAGAATATTCATTTATAACCTAAGAGAAAAATCAAGAATATTCATTCTTATAATATAACATAATTATTGGTCGTCGTTCTTTTTAAATATAAGCGATAGTTTAAATAATAGAAGAGGATAATTTCTCACACACACCTACACATCTAAGATGCTATATATGATATTCAAACCTGAGTCCTCTTGATCATATTAATTTAATATAAAAGTTCCACCCAAGTTTTCTTGAAGACGATCGAGGACCCATTTTGGCCACGTTGTGATTACTCAATTCCATCAAAATTTGGTTGGAGGTTTGAGCTAACCCTAATAATGATTCATTCATTTATTATATTTATAAACCAGCTGAGTGTCAGCGACTTGGTTGGAAACAGTCAAGTCAACACTATATATTTTTTTTTAATGGATTTTTAGTCTGATAAATTTTCTTTTGGTCGGAAAAATTTGATAGATGACCAACACTCAACAGGCAAACAGGCAACAGCCTTTCTCTAATGTGTTAATTAACAGGCTAAAAGGAGTCACTAATTATAGCAATCTCCTTTTGTTATACTAATCAAGAAAGCTTAAGTGTACTTGGGCAATTCCATACATCTTAAATATATAAAAAAATATTTATATCAGAACCAATCATTGTCGAGCTTGAGCAAGCATGACGAGGAAGAGAAGGTTGGTGAAAAGGGATTTGAATTCAATGAAGCCTTCAATTGCTTTAGGACTAAGAAGACTCAATCTGTCTAATTACCAAAAACCAAGAAGTCACAACTTCTTATACAACTACATAATTCAAGATTTCGATCCACTCATAGATTTCACCAGCCTAATGTGTACCATCTAAAAGGCATTGTTTTCAGCTTTTATGTACACCATAGGGCCACATACTGAATTCAACTTGGTCTCTCTTTATAATGAATTCAATACTTTACGTTTTGAGTAAATGTTACAGATACTAACCGTATTACACCAACTAATATGGACAACGTTTCATTTATTTTCTTTCGGAGCTCATTATAGACTTTATTTATTCACAACAAATAAGACATTACGATAATACGAACTAACTAGTAAATTATTAAATAACCTTATTTGTACCTTATTTAGTCACCATATATCTTTCATAAAGGTAAGATTTTCAATTCTATAGAAGATGTAATAAACAATGTAGTGTTGGTAAAGAAACTGTCACTAAATAAACTTCACTGTCATGCTCATGGTCATATATTTTGAGCTCATCCTCCATGTCCATTGGTTGCCACATCTTTATCATACAATATTATAAAACATCTAGAATGATATTATATTATAGAACAAATACTATATTTTATTCTTTGAATATAATATTATTCAATTTCCTACAAATTTTTAATTTTTTTTTGGGTCAGGATTTTCCTACAAATTAATGTATGGTGAAAAATGTGTCATGCCGTACAACATCTCCATCCAAATGGAAGCAAACAGAACACATAACCAATAATTAAATGATAATTTCTTTAAAAAAAAAAAACAGAAGATAATTTATTGAAAGATGGAATGATAAAAGGAGCCCACTTCCGAAATACAACACTGAGATCCTTACAAAAGGAAGCTTGCTAAACGGCGCCACATCACAAAAGGAGTGAAACCCGAAACGGCGCCGTTTCTATCTCTCAGGCTTGCTCCCCACTTCCCGTTAAATTTAAGATTTGGAAGGTTTCGTAAAATGACCGGTACAAACAGACAGGTGACACGTGGGAGCCCCTGGCGGGCTCCCCCAAAATTTACCTCGGAAACTCGCCGCTCTTCCCTCTCTCTCTCTTTCTCTCTCTTTGAAACTTCCATTCTCTCTCTCTCTCTCTCTCTCTCTCACTGTTACTTTCTACACAGCTAGGGTTTCGTTTCCTTTACTCCCAAATCAAGAGGCAGAGAGCTTCACCGGTACCTTTTTTTAATCTTCGCTTTTTAAATTGCTCAATAACATCGCGGTTCATGTTCTATTCGGTCATTTATCGTTTTTCTCTTGAGTGATTTGCAATGTCGATTTGAAATTTGATTGAATCTTCATTTACTGGTTGTTTGGTTTCCGGGAAAGGTAGGGAAAATGATGAAAAATAAACCTTTGAATCTCCGGTTATGGTTGTTAGGTGTGGGAAGTACAAGGTTGACTAAGTCTGAATGTGCTGTTGGGTTGTTTGTGTCTCTGAGGGATAGGGGATTCTGCGCCTTAGTTTCTTGTCATTTTGTAAAATTTCTCAGAGACCAAACAGAGGCATTGAGGAGTTGAATAGATTTATGACTCCGGTGGTTTCGGAGTTTTGGACTTTAGCAAGATTGTTTGTTTGTTCAATTTCTGCTTTTTTACGTCTAAGGTATTTAATTGGAATTTTATTTTATGTAAATGGTTTATCTTTCTACAACTTCGTAATGAGTTAAAGCTTTAAAAGGAAAAATATGTTGATTTTTGTTTCTTATTCTTTCCTGAAATGCAGAGACAAGTGAAGAAAGCAATCACGTCATGGTGAAATTTTTATGGGGTTGGATGATTTAATGCTGGTTAGATTGGATGAGTATGTTTATCATCTTCATGTGGCCATGATGACAGGGATGATAGCTATGACCTTGGCTAATTTCGTCTGAGTTTGATGATCTGATTTTTGAAAGAATCACCTTGTTGTAATTCCTGTAAAGAAATGCGATTTTAATATGCATTTTATACAGATGAGTTTAAGGTCTAATTATTAGTTTGGATCTTGGACAATGGCTATTGCTGGTCTACACAATGTTTCTGTGCTCGAGCCTTCTATTCTTCGCGACTCTCAGTCTCACGCATCTAGACGGATAGGCAATGAAGGGAGGGTAAACACCCGCCCGTCCTCGCTACTACAAATGTGGCGAGAGCTTGAGGATGAGCATGTGGTGAGTCGTGCCCAAGAGAGAATCAGTGAAAGGCTGCTTCAACAAAGAAGTGATAGGTTGATAGATGACATCTCAAGAGCAGATGCTGCTGAAAGCCATGGTAGTGAACACACAGGTGATTTAGAGGATGAGAGTGTGGCGGAGAGTGAGTGCAGATTATGGTCTCAAGGTCAAATTGGGTCATCCAATGAACATGAGAACTGTAGCAATTTTAGCAGTGAGCATTCTGATTTTGGGGAGGTTGAAAGGGGGAGGGTGAGGCAAGTTTTCAAGGAATGGATGAATTGTGGTGTGGCTGAGTGTGGTTCAAGTGTTTCTAATATGAGTAACAGTTCAAGGGCAGAATGGCTTGGTGAAACTGAACAGGAGAGGGTCAGAATTGTAAGGGAGTGGGTGCAAATTAACAGCCAGCAGAGAGGTGCTTCTGGTGACAATAGTGGAGAACAGCCTGCTGAAATTGGTAATCAAATTGAACGAGTTCGTGATGGATTGGTTGTTAACCAAACTGAAGGCCGGTCTGAGATCACGCGAAGGGGCATTCGGAAGTTATGCGGTAGACAGGCTGTGCTGGATATGTTAAAGAAGGCTGAGAGAGAAAGGCAAAGAGAACTTCAAGAATTGTTGGAGCACCAGGCCGTATCACATTTTGGTCACCGCAATCGCATTCAGGTTCATTGTTATCATGCTTTCCACATCTTCAGTTGCTTATCATAGAGTTACTCTTTGAAAATGGGTTTTGAGTTTGTTATACTTGAGTGTACAATCTCATTTTGGTGAAATTTTTTATGTACGATACTCGATAGTCTTTGGATAATGTGAATACCCATAGAGACATCCTTAGCGACAAGAAATCAATATGCTAGTATCATGTTCTAGAAGTGTAATGATGCTTTGTTATGCCTGTGCATTTGTACTGGTTTCTCGGCATTGAAAACTTTTCTTGTTACTAATATGTCAACATGTTTTTTCTCTTTTTGCTTTTCTCTCGCAGTCATTGCTCAGAGGAAGATTCCTACGAAATGGTAGAGTGATTGAGAATGAGAGACCCACTTCCATGGCTGAAAATGAACTAGGCTTATTGAGGCAAAGACACACAGTCTCTGGTCTAAGGTAATATTTTCCCTGCTTTAATTAATAAGAATGATATCTTTAATTTTCTCTGCAAAGCTTTTATGCTCTAATTTTTTTTCTTAAGTATCGTGTGACCTTCCATTTTATATACACCTGAGATGTCTTTGTAAGTTTTACGCAATGAATAGGTGGAATTGCATCATCTCGTAATGATGAATTAACCCATCCTTGTGATCCTCTTTTGTTTTCTGTATAATTTATATCATCTTTGCATTTATTGAAGTAAAAATTATTTGGGACACCTCAAGTCTAAGTTTTCTAATTATTCTTCTTCCAAGAGTTGTTGATGCACGATTTTTTATAATCATTGAATTTAGCCAAAAAGTGATACAAAAATGGTATGCAGTAAACCCATTCTTCCAACCACTTTCTAATCGTGAAAGTGTTTTTGGTATATTATGTGTGAGTTTATGGGGCTTGAAGGGTGGTCCACTATAGAAAGATGATTCAGTCTAAATTACAATGGGCAGATTGTAAATTTTATATTTTGATTGTTGGAAAGATGACAAACTATAGCTATTAGCTTGCACTGGCGAGTTTGGTCTATAGTTAAATAAATGGATTAATTCCTTGGTACAATTTTAAGTAGTGGGGTTGTCAAGATGTAGTTAGTTGTGTTTCCTCTCTTGATTACTAGTTTTGTGAATTTGAAGTGTTAAAACAAGATATAAATCACTTTTGACATGGTGAAATTGAGTTTGAGTTCTTTTTGAAAGCCTCTATCACTGTTCCAGTATGATGTTGCCCTGCAATGGACACTCATGTTCATGTATGTATGCATATAGACTTTTACCTTTAGAGCATCTTAATCTTGTATATTATTATCAGTTATAGATTGTGGTCATGCAAATCCATTAACTTTTTTCTTCTTTTATTCTTGAAGCTGTCTGGATTATTTCATTGACTAATACTGAATTAATTTCTTCATTCATTTTTTGTTTCTTATGTAGAAAAATGCTTTTATTTATTTTCTCATTGATATTTGGGCATCTATTCTTTGGAGTAGGGAAGGTTTTTGCTCCAGATTGGATAATACTGCATGTGGTCAAGTAAGCAGCAGCCATTCTGAGACATCTTCAAGTGTGTCTAGTGGTAGTAGAAATGGACATGCTGAAGAAGACAATTTACAAGAGGTACATGGTTTTTTCGAACAATCTGATGCTAATGAAGAGGCAAGTGATGACAGAGGACATGATAGATGTGGAATGTCAAATGGTAGCGGTGATTTAGGTGGCAACACCATTCTGGAAATAGATTCACAAGAATCTAATGTTCCTGTGGAAGGTTGGCAGGGAGAAGTTCCAGATAATGTCGTAAGAGACGGGCATTGCTCAACCATTTTTGACATTGTCGAAAGGAGTGAGGGTACTGGTAGTAATATGATTGGGAACTTACGGGCAACCACTGCTGTTGAGCAGCCCCTAGAAACTTCGCAAAATGATGCTGGTGAACACAGTAACATGAGAGAAGTCATTGATGTATCTAATGAATCTGAGCCAAGTGGGGAGGAAAGTGTAATCTGTGAACAATCTGGTGATACATATAATTTACAAGGCAACATGGTTGGGGATGTAAATTTTCAATGGGGTGTAAATTTTCAAGAATTTACTTCTCAGGTACAACAATGGCAGGATCGAGTTTCAGAAAATGAGGAAGGAGACTGGGAAGAGCCTGTTGCTGAGTATATGAATGGTCCCAAGAGTTGTTGGAGGGCGAGGATAGAGAAAACAGTCATCTTGAAGAAGTTAGTGAAGTGTGGCACGAGGAAAGTGGTTTTCAAGAGGCTGTTCACAGTTGGTTAGAAGAGCCATCTGACGATGCTGATCCAGTCAGACAGATTGATACCTTTTATTTTCCTGATGACGATAATGCTCATAGTACAGAGATAAGGGAACTCCTAAGCAGGTATTAAATTTATTAATTCATGATTATGCTTTGGGCTTCTGAAGGATCAGCTTTTCTCATGGAAATCTTATTAATGTTGCAGGAGAAGGGTTTCTAATCTTCTTAGTAGTGGTTTCCGTCAGAATCTAGATCGACTTATACAATCATATGTGGAAAGACAAGGCCATGCTACCATTGACTGGGAGCTAGATGATACATTACCTTCTCCTGAATCTGCAGAACAGGATCTAGAGCAGACTGGTAGATATCAAAATGAGGGTCAAGGGGATTCTGTTGAGAGTCCTAGTCCTAGTACTGCGCTGCCATCACAGCAAATACCTCCCTCACCACTTTGGGACCAGGAGTCACACCCTGATAATTGGCCACAGCATGACATGCATCAACGCTTTGGAATTGTAAGTTCACATAATTTTTCTTGCATCTTGCGTTCACATAATTTGATATCAAGTCACTTATATTCTTGACGCCTTCCTTTTGGCTTAGTCAATTTACAATTTGCTTACTGATACAGGACTGGGAGATAATTAACGATATGAGGATTGACATGGGTAGGCTACAACAGAGGATGAATAACTTGCAAAGAATGTTAGAAGCCTGCATGGATATGCAACTCGAGTTGCAGCGCTCAATAAGACAAGAAGTTTCTGATGCCCTGAATAGATCATCTGGTTCACAAGGTTTGTCAATAGTTTTGATGCACTTAAGTATATTTTACATAGATGTTTTTTATGGTGAACTTTTACTCTACACTGACCACCTCTAGGATAGCTTTACTAACTCTGATTGGATAGTTGCAATGAAATTATGTCTGATTGGTTTTTTCTATCAATGGTGTTGGTTCTGCTTTAATGTCTTAGAGGTCCATCAGTTTGTTCCCAGCCCACCGTATACAACACGTTACGTTTCATTTAAGAAGAAGATTGATGTTTACTTATGGGCCTATGCTGCCCACCCAAATCTTGGGCTAGGCCTCTAATGTGCTATTTTTGCAATGAAAACATCATTGGACCAAAAACGTTCAAAAGATAAAATCCTAACCTGTATGACATAACCACGAAATTAGATTTTGTAAACCCTAATCCTCTCCTTTTAAAACTTTGCAAAGATGATACTAGTTGTTTGTGTTTCCTCTCCTTTTAAAATTTTGCTCCCATCTCCTGCTGTGGATCCCTTGTCATTTTGCCTTATTTGGTTGTTGGTTTGGTGAACAATTCTCTAAAACTTCGGTCCATTACTTGCTTTCCTTAAGTTGACTGTGAGAGGTGTCTGCTTCTGCAGGGTTGTGTGAAGATGGTCTGCTAGAAGATGGCTCTAAATGGGATCATGTAAGGAAAGGAATTTGCTGTATATGTTGCGATAGAAGTATTGATTCTTTACTGTACAGGTAAAACTCCAAAATGTGCACCTTTGTGATTCGAATTGTTGGATATGTGGAGATTGTAACATCGTTTTTCAATTTCCGTTCATTTTGTCTTGCAGATGCGGGCACATGTGTGCATGTTCAAAATGTGCTACCAAATTGGTTGAGAGTAGCGGAAAGTGTCCGATGTGTAGAGCACCCGCAGTTGAGGTGATCCGTGCTTATTCTGTACAGTAACTTGAACACTAAGTTACTAAGTTAAAGTTGACATTTATATAGGCATCATAGGGTTTTGCTCCAATCTCTTTTTCTCTCTGTTTTTTGTTGCTGCTTAGGGCCATGATGTCTCACATATATTGAGTGTACGATTGACACAGAAAATGCTCTCTTTGATTCATTATTCTGATCTAATAAAATAGAACGGAAAGCTAATATACCGTAAATTCAGTATCCAGTTAGGTTATAGCTGAGGTCTGCCGCCCCCCACACCACCGCCCCCCCAAAACAAAACACAACTGAGGGTTGCTTCCCTGAAAGATATCACCCCTTAGTATTTGCATTTGTACCATTTTGCATTTGTACCATCTAGGGGTGCAAGTTGGATTGGAAATTTCGATCTGAAAATTTCCCATTTTGGTGAGCTCGAATGAATTCTGAAATCTGAAAATTCCAAAAAAATAAAAAAGGGATTGAAATTGAAATGCATTTTAAGCTTGGATCCGAATCCTTTGCTTTGATTTTCTCCGTCATGATTTGCTGTATTTTTATTCTCCATACGCCACTTCATTAAAATTTAATCTAAGGAATTTAAAAGTTTGACACATCATCCTAAAACAAAAGCCCAATTTACTCCTAATTAAAAAAGAAAAAAATAAAAATAAAAAAAAAAAAAATAAACCAAGGTGGTTGGTGTGAGTGGTTCGGCACTCTCATTCCTTAAGAGAGGTCAGGGGTTCGATCCCTGCTCTTGTATGGAGTCACCACTTTGGCCAGCACTTTACTCCTTACGGGCCGACCCGGTGTGAGCGGGGATTAGTCTGGGTTGTGGTTAAGGCTTAAAGGTGCCATCCATAGTTGGAGCCCATCCAGGACCACCTCGTGGTTCAGACCAAAAAAAAAAAGAAAAAAAAAGAAAAAAAAAACACTAACACCCAACAAATGGGATAGTTAACATCCAAAAGCTGATTTTTTTTTTCTTCTTCTTCACTTCTGTCCTCTTCTCTTTTTTTCTCCTTCTAGCTACACGTACCGTCCTCTTCTCCTTTTTGCTTCACCTTGCTCCACCATCACAAAGCAATAAGCATCACTACGAAAATCCATTGAAGGCAAAACCATCTTTGACAAACCACACGCCATAACAAAACCCAACATAAATTATGAATCTCTCTATTTCGTTCTTCATAGCAAAGGAATAAGAAAACCCCCAGAAAATGAAAACCCATGAATTAATGAAAGGCTTACCTTTCTAATATTTGTCAGGTACCCATAATTTAATTCCTCCACCAAAAGCAACAATCTTTATACAAGAAGGATAAAAAAAAAGGAGAAGATGACAGAACGTGAAGAAGTAGAAGAAAAAAGAGAGAGGAACGTGAAGAAGAAGAAGAAAAAAAAAAACCAGCTTTTGGACGTTAACTATTCCGTTAGTTGTGTGTTAGGTTTATTTTAATTTTTTATTTTAATTAGGAGTAAATTGGTATTTTGTTTTGGGATGATGTGTCAATTTTTAAATTCCTTAGATTAAATTTTAATGAGGTGACGTATGGAGAACAAAAATAAAGCAGATTATGATAGAGAAAATCATAGCAGAGGATCCGAATCCGGTCATGTTTAAAATTTTCAACTATTTTCCATAAAAATTCTTTAAAATGTTAGTTTTGAAATTTTCTAACAATTTCGAAAATTCCGAGTTTTTCAAATCGGAATGGATGTTGAAATTCTAAAGCTTTTTGGAAAAAGAACTGGAAAAGAATTTTCATTCCGAAATTTTTTGGATTGGAATTGGAATGATTCTGATTCGATCCTTCCGAAAACCAGCTCCATGCCATCAACTACAAGAAGAAAATGGTGCAATTACATTAGTTTTTTTAAAGTGGTTGACAGTACATTTTTTGCTAGCTTCCCAATCATAGAAAGTGCTTCTTTAATATTTTTCCATGAAAGATATAAATTTTGATTTCAATAGAAGAAATGCTTTTGCTTTGATTTAAATTAAAGTGTTTTTGATAGGGGCACTTATGAGTAGAAATAAGTCCTATGAAACGATTTTTTTTTAAAATGAAAAAAATAGATTAAAACTAAAGGAGGAGAATGTTTTCCTTTATCAAGTGCTATGAATGTAACCAAAGCGTTATGAAAGTTCAAATTTAAGCCAAACCGAAGTGTTATGAAAGTACAAGTGAATGACCTTTTCTACTGAAATGACTCGGTTGGCATGAATATAATTCGGAAGTGTGCTCTGAATCTCAATAGAACTCGGACAATTAATACATCCTGTCCATAGCTGTGGAAAAGTATAATATCAAAATGAGACAAAAAAGAGGGGAGGAATTCATAACCAAAACAGGTGGATCAATATTCACACGCCATCATCTACACATGGTTATCCGAACCTTGTGCAGAGAGAGAAAGAAAGAAGACCAATTTACAAAAAGAAACATATAAATATACAAACTAAAACGAAATCCTAATTAACACTCTTGTTTTGGTTAAATCCTAATTAAGACTTGGACTGTCTTCCATTATTATTGGACACATAGGTTGATACAGCCTTGGTCCCCTCTGCCATGGCATGTCTCCCGAGCTCACCAGGCAAAACCAGCTTCACTGCCCCCTGAATCTCCCTAGCCGACAAGGTTTTTCTTGCCGTGTACTTGGTCAGCCTCGCTGCCTCATCCGCCAGCCTCTCAAACATGTCGTTCATCAAATTGTTTAGCACTGTCATGCCCTTGGACGACACTCCCATGCCAGGGTGCACCTGCTTCAAAACCCTATGCACATATATCTTGTACTCTTCTCCTCCACCTCTCTCTCTCCTCTTCCTCTTCTTCTCCCTACTTTTATTGCCTCCTTTTTGGGTCTTCACCTCATCACTTTTGAGCTCTTCTTTCTTTGTTGTTTCTTCTTCTTTCTCATCAGAAGTTGTATTGGTTTCCATGGAATCTTCCTTTTCTCCTTCTTGGGTCTTGACCTCTTCACTTTTCTGTTCATCTTCTTTCTCGTCAGAAGTTATATTGGTTTCCACTGTATCTTCTTGATCTTCTTTCTTTTCTCCTTCTTCTTCTTCTTCTTCTTCTTCTTCTGCTGCCTCTTTCTGATCAGAAGTGAGAGTGGTTTTTGCTTCAGCGTTTTGGCCCTTTAGGATTTGGTTTTCCTCTTCTGTTAGAATGGGGATCCTTCTAGTCTTGAGTGGCTCTGAGATTTCCACGTTTTGGGTTTGATTTTCTTCTTGGGTTTCAATGGAAATAGTCTTGATAGTCTTGACTGGCTTCCGAGTTTGATCACCACTGTCTTCACTCTGCTTCTTCTGCCTTTTGCTTTGAACCACTGATGAGACTTGAACTGTTTCTCTTACAACTTGCTTGGTGGTCTTCACCACCGTCTTCGTTGAGCGCTTCGGGGCCATTTTTTACAGTAGTTGCCCTATATTTGCTTGCAGTAAAGTTGCCTCGAGATGTTGTTTGGACATCAACAGAAGAAACTTATGTGGTTAAATATCGATATTGAGATAATAACTGTGTTGTGGGGTTTTACCCAATGTTGACAAGTGGCGGACAGGTGTTGAGTGCTTTCTGAACCCAATGGCTACGTGGGGGGTAAAAGTGGTGGACAGAAGTTATTTTGTTTTCACTCTTGGAGCTTTCCTCAACATTCCCAAGTTCCCAAATCTTTCTACTGAACTTTCCAGGACCAGGAGAAGATTTTTGCAGTGGGTCCTCCAACATGAAATATATGGGCTAGGCCTAAAATGCGTCCACTGAAAATGAAAGGCTTTGAGAATGTTGTTGGGCTTCAATGTGTACGTATGCCCAAACGGTGTTGGGTCCTCGACCCAAATTCTAAACCTTATTTGCGGCAAAAGTGCATAGAAAAACTGTAACGAGGGGTTAGAGGAAGGAGTCCTTAATAGTCGTATGATCAATTACAGAGCTATTATGATACGGTTGAATTGAACCCCACAACACACACCCCTCAAAATTATCCCCTCATTATACAAGCTCCCAAACGTGCAATGATTTGAATTAGAGTAGCGAGTTGGCCCTAATATCAAATGACATCAAGTAGGGCTATGCACAAACCCAAATAGAGTGCAAAAACAAAAAAACTACATACCACTGAAATACCGAATTACAGAATATGCAAAAAAACATAATAAATCTCCGTTAAACTATTGCCATATTAAGAAAATAATTCATTTTTTGTTTCTTAAAATCTAGTATATACAAGCCATGGAATAATTTGAGAATTTCTAATGGTTTTGTGAGTATTATGGTCACATGGGTTTTTTGTTCTTAAATGTATGATTTATTTGGTTTATAAATAAACAGAGTTGTGTTAGTTTTGAGTTACGCTCAGTGGCTAGTTAAGTAGTTTGAATTAAGATTGTTTAGTATTGGCTTTCTATTAACAATAGGGGTTTTTTTTTAATATATCACGAATGGTTCCTAAGATTTGTGAAATTATCACGTTTGGTCTTTTATGTTTTTTCGCTAACCTCAAAGATCATTTGTGATAAAAACCCAAATAATATGAATTTGGAATATGTTCCAACAATGTGAAGATTAAATTATACGATACCAAATAATCCTTGACAAGAAAATACTTTACACGTGGACATTGGAAATGACATGATATGATATGAGCACAAGAATTAGAAAACATAACACTGATATGACACGATATTTTCCAGGTCTCGTATAGATCAGAAATGTGGGATCAAAGTTCATCAGAGTGTTTATGGCCAGTCGAAGATATATTTTGACTTGCTGTTACATCTCTCTATCTCTCTCTCTCTCTCTCAAACAACAAAGACAATTTAGAGGAAGCCTTTATCTTTTGGAGCTACTCTCCTTGCGAAAGACACGCACAATAGGATCCAAAGCTATATACGAACCTTGGTACTCTTGCTTATGTGAGAGCAAATATTTTCGTCCCCAATCATAGCACGCCACACGGGAAAGAAGAATATCCCTTAAATTAATTAATTGAATCAATTTATTTGGCCAATTAATTAATAGAGATAATATCTTAATTATAGGATATTATCTTTTTTTAATAAGATAATATCATTAATTCAAATATTATCCTAATAAAGATATATATTCATCATCAAATTAGGAGATTTGGATCCCAATCAAATCCCTAATGGACTCAATCTCTAC